CAATCCTTTATAAATGAGACTCCTGGAGTTGATTTGAGGTGTGCTGCTTGCATTTGGAAGGTTTTGCTGTGAAGTAAACATGCGGTAAAAGGAGCTCTCCATGCAGGTGAAACAAGACATCCTTAAAAAAAGACTCAATCAGAATCATCAGTTTGGTACAGTACATCCTGAGACAGAAAAAAAAGCACTGGTGAACTCATCAATACAAAAAGACCTGGACACCCATGGAAGACAACAGCGGTGGATGACCGCAGAATCATTTTCATGGTGGAGAGAAACCCTTCACAACAGCCAATAAGTGAACAACACTCTTCAAAAAAGTGTATCAATATTAGGGCTGCACACTATATTGAAAATATATCGTCATCACGATAATAGCTTGTGCAATATGCATATCGCAACAACTGCAAAAACTGCAATAAATGGTTGACTCAAAAATTTGCATTTATGCGTTTTGTCATTCAGATGGAAGCTTGAAATATTTCACCAATCAAATAGATCCCTTCAGGTCAATTAAGAAAAAATCAGGCTGGAATGGAAAAGATTCGTTTTTTATGTTGTTTTTGGGCTTTGAACCCAGAGCAGAAAGATATCAACACCACATATAAATACRTATTTTTTCATTTATCGCAAGTCATTTCGTCATCCCAACATTAAGCACTGTYACTGCACATCGCAGGTTTTCCTAATATCGTGAAGCCCTAATCAATATCCAAATCTACCAAAGAGAGCGATGAAAGTAAAAGCAGAGGGTTCACTGCATTGTGCAAGCCAATCATAAGCCTCAAGAATAAAAAGGCTAGATTTGACTTTGCTGAAAAATATTTTAAAAAGTCATCAAAATCATGGAAGAACATTCTTTGGACAGATGAAACCAAGATCAACCTCTGCCAGAAAATGGAAAGAAAAAAAGGGTATGACAAAGGTAAAGCTCATGATCCAAAACATACAACAACATCTGTAAAACACAACAGACACAGTGTGAAGCTCGAGCATTTCTGACTGCCATGGCACTGGGCCAACTGGTGTTTATTGATGATGTAACACAGGACAGAAGGATGAATTCTGAGGTATTCAGAGCCATGCTGTGTGCTCAGATCCAGCCTAACTGACTGGTCTGTGTTTCATAATACTGATGGACAATGATACTTTTGAGCCTCTGAAATGAAGAGATTGTGTTTAAAAATGCTTTACTTCCTCACATTTCTATGCAATCATTTTATTCAATCYACTGAATTAAAGCTGAGAGTCTGAACTTCAACTGTGTGTGAAATGTTTGGTTCAGATTTCATTGTGGTAATGTACAGAACCAAAAYGATGAAAATATTGTCTCAGTGTCTCAACGTGACAGTCATACAACACACTAACACTAAATGTTGGTGAGCAATACGCATTCCTTCAAAAAAATGCTACACCCTTTAATTGTATTTGTATTTTATATATAATTTATTGTGATCTCACAAATGCATATGTGCTTTAAACCAGTGGTTCCCAAACTTTTTRTCTTCTGACCCACAAAATATCCCATGGCAAAAACTTGTGACCCCAAATATTACTGGTCTGAGTACACAAGCTTCGTTAATAACCCTAAAAACACAGGCTTTTTGACAATCTAA